TAGGCCGCTGTGTTTTTCGTTGCCACTGATGATTCAAACCCGAGTTTTGGGCAGTAGAGTAGCACTTGTTGTTTGTCATTTCTCCGATCACAAATGCAGATATGGTTTTGTGTTTACACGGCGAGATGCAACGCAACGCGTAGGAAGACAGAATAAGTCATTATAATCCATAATTATGTCCCCACTGGATGCAACGAATGCCTCGTTTATAATGTGTTTTAATGTGTTTGTCTCGTCGCTCCGGCCGGACAGGGCATCATCACAGTATGTGAGGGGCGTAACATTTCCATCACACGCTTGAGGTATTCGGCCAATCACAACGCACTGGATAGCTGGCCAATCACAGCACACCTTGCTTTTCAGACCGATGAGCTTTGTAAAAATCGACGCGTTTCAGAAAGGCGGGGCATAGAGGAGAAACAATAATGTACAGTATGTGGAAAATAATGTGTTTTTTTAACCTTAAACCACATAAACACATTTCATTACACCAAATACACAAAATAATGCTCTTTTTAGCAACATCATATGACCCCTTTTAAAAGAACACATCTTCTGTCCAGTGTTTACTAGACCTCTGTAACCTGGCAACCATCCGCACATTCTGATTATCTGAAAACACTGACAGACATGTGTTCAGCGATCTCCGCTCAGAGATTCGGCTCACACCTCTGTGCCACAATACAACATCTTTTTGTGTTGTTTGTCAGTGCTGTAACTGATTACATGTACTCTGGATTACGTAATCAGAGTCCAAAAATTAAGTATTTGTAATTAGATTATATTTCATTTTAAAATGCTAATACTCATACTGTTACTACAAATTATTCATAATGTATTGATTTTCCCTAATTCATTTTTCTCTCTCTCTTAAATGTTCATTCAGAATATACATATAGATTCAGAAAGTCTTCTAGTTTTAGGGATCTGCACACTCTGTCACTAGTCAGGTATTTACACAGAAAATGGAAAGGCCACACAATTAGTTCTTCGAGGAACCCCAGTTTGGGAAACCCTGGTGTTATGTAATGCACTTCATGATGTTGACAACAAAGAATGGAAAATATTTTTATACAAGTTAGGTCAAAAGTAATCGAAAAGAGGTCTGAATACATTACCTTATATGTGTAATCCAACAGATTACATTACTAACTACAATTACCGTTATGTAACTTGTAATCAATAACGGACTAGTTTGTAAGTGGTTGTTGCAATAGAAAGACATGAATATAATTTGGAATTATTGGAATTAATATTGGGCATGTCGCTGTTTTAGCTTTTTGAGAGAAGCTTTCATAATGTAGAGAATCAGGACACTAGATGAGGTGAAATAAAGCATGCGTATGTGCTGAAATTCTCTAGATTTGTGCTTATAGGTGAAAGTGCAATAGCAATATATAAGTCAGTTGTAATTCCTCAATCAGGATCAGCAAGCACAATTAAAATCATGAGCAGAATAACTGTGATAATCAGTTTAGCCATTGTGCAGCATGACAAAAAGTTTTTAACTGACTACAGGTAGACTAACATTCCCAGATGTTTAGTCGACTGAAACTTGATTAATCAAATAACAGGCTCAGCTGGCTCAGAATAAAACCCCCAAGACTGATTTCACTAGGAATGGGAGAAAAAATAACAGTAAAACATAAAGACTGTAATATATAACGAAAAGATAGAGAGTTCTTGACATAAACACGATTTTAAGAAAATACAGAGAAAGATGAAGACTAATACAGAGCATCTTTAAGTGTATTTAAAATCAACTAGAGTGATCAAATTAACCGCTGTTTTATCTGTTGACAGTGAGTGCATAAATCAGACATACATAATAAACATTATATGGTAACACTTTTTTTTAAGGTGTCATTGTTACACATGAATTAGTACTGATTTACACATTAACCTACTAAAATCTGCCTGAAGTACACTGATAACACACCACAATAACACAGCTGTAAAATACAAAATGTAACATAAAAGACTCCAACATACATGATCGCAACAAAAATAAGAAAAATTACAATTTAATAAAATACACTCATTAAATATGATGGGAAGCTCTTTTTTCCCCTTAAACAGTGGCTTGCATTTTTAATGCATATTTAATATTTTATTTTATTTTTACTGCACATAGTCTTATGAATACATATATATATATACAGTATATATAACCTAATATACATTTTGCAATAGGCCTTTAGCCTGCTATATATGGTAAGGTAACCTACAGTTAACAGGTTTCAATAGTAGTATTCCACATGCTTTTCTGCTGAAATTACAAAGCTTTTTATCAGTGTAGGAGTGAAAGCGAGAGTGAGGGAGAGAAGAGACACGCTCTAGTTTCTAGAGTCACGAAGCTCATTTGTAAAATGTCACGAGCGCAGCGATGTGCTTAATCATGCAGAGAGATAGAGATACTGAGAATACAGGAGGACTGGGAAACTGTGAAGGACAAACTGCAGATAGACAACACAGTGAAGACATGAATGAGAAATGAGTGAGAGAGTGAGAGAAAAGCACACCATGAGGAGTGAGAAAGAGAAATATAAGGAGAGTTGAGGGCCTCGAGTGAGAAATAATGATCTACAACATCAACAAACAAGACAAAAAAATAAAAGACATTTCTTAGTTGTCAGTCCAAAAGGTCGCTTGCACCACCATTATATTTCCTAGGAACATTTACTATTCACTATTTCTGTAACACAGTGACACTCCGCATCGCCATGGTAACAGGCAACAGCCTCCTCCGTTGTCATGGCAGCATGCTGAGCACATCATCATGCTGACAGTAGGCAAACAAGGATGCTTGTTGCCAGGGGCAACAGTTCAAATCAGTGGTTAAATAAAGGATAAAGAAGAGAGAAGAACAAATAGAAGAGGAAGAAAACGATGAGAGCAGAAAAGAAAAGAGCAGAAAGGGCCTCGAGTGAGAAATAATGATCTACAACATCAACAAACAAGACAAAAAAATAAAAGACATTTCTTAGTTGTCAGTCCAAAAGGTCGCTTGCACCACCATTATA